GGAGAAGAGGAGGCTCAGGGGAGACCTTATCACCCTCTACAACTCTCTGGAAGGAGGTTGGAGTCAGGTGGGGGTTGGTCTCTTCTCCCAGGCAACCAGCAGGAGGACAAGAGGGCACAGACTCAAGCTCTGTCAGGGGAGGGTTAGGTTGGCTATTAGGAAGAGATTTTTTACAGAGAGAGTGATCAGGCATAGGAATGAGCTGCCCAGGGAGGTGGTGGATTCACCATCCCTGGAAGTTTTCGAGATGAGACTGGATGTGGCACTTAGTGCCATGGTCTACTAACAACAGTAGGGCTGGACTCGATGATCTTTGGGGTCTCTTCCAACCCAATTGATTCTATGATTCTATTGTGCATTTATAAGACCGTTCTTGCTGATCTTCTTGGATTTGGTCAAGAAATGATAAATGAGATGGATCATAATTGATTTCAGAGAGTTCTTCTTGCAGTGTCTCTTAGTGCTCTGGTTTTTGCCATCTGAAAACAATACTTTCACACAGCCCCTGGGTACCTTCTTGCTTCGAAAGGCAGGAGCCCACGATGCCATTATCACATGCAACACAAGGGTCTGTGGCTGCCTCCTGTCACATTGAGTCTGACTGTGTAAAACTGAAAATCACTGCGTTGAGATGAAGTTTCAATGTTTTTATTCAAAGCAGCTTCTCACAATGTATAAATACTGCATATTAACACACATGAAAAATACAACTTCTAAGGCACCCAGAAATGTGTCCATACACTAGTTACAGGACCATCAACAAATAAATTGTGTACAATTTGATCTAGACAGTCAATATTTGATATATCAGCAGATACAAGTCCCTCAGTACTGTACCAGTTTCAGAAAATATTTACAACACTGTGATATAGGGGTGCCTGTACCCTTATAATATTATAATATGTACTCATCGTTACAAATATTAGAAACTGTTTTAGTCTGTTCCATGGCATTCTGACAAAATAACTTAAGGGCCTAATTTGCGAAGTTCTACAATTAATTATTTGTGCAAGTTCTGAAAATAAATTTACATTGACATAACTTGTGAATTTTTGGTTCTTTGCTTCATCTCAGAGGTTTGGTAATAAGCCTTACCAATAGACATGCCATCCTAGCTGAACATCACTCCTTTCCCAATAGGTCCGTGGATACATCTTTCCCCCTTGCACCTGACATGGATGAGAATGCAGTGTTTGTAGCAGAAAGAGACTATTTGATCTTCAGTACAAATGTCAAACTAGTTCACTGGCGAAGGAACTAATGCTTTGTTAGAATAATGCAGTTCTTTGGTCCTTTGTTTTTATGGAAGGCATAACATTTTTCTTCACTAAAAGTCGAAATCCTGTCTGTGAGTAAGCAAGCTAGTGAGTGACTCGCAGTGTAGCATTTAAAATAGCAGTAAAGAGATTTAATATGGCTTAAAACATACGGTTAATTGGGCAGACACAGATAACACATCTAGGATACAGAGTACCCAAATGTACTATGATAAGATTGTCTATAAGTCTCTTATGTAAACTTCTTTAGTGTCTCCTAAAGAGCGCTGGCTTTAGCCAGATTTGACTTTTATAGACCCAGCCACACAAAGCCTGAGATTAAACTACCATGGTTGGGAGCACAAATGCACAGTTTATATATAACAAAGCCCATGCTGACAAGTCTACCTATGTTGTTCGGAAGAAACAACCCGTATTATCCTTTTCACAAGAAAAACTTAAGGCCCTGTACTCTGATTTGCTAACTTTCTTACAACAATTATTTGGGGAAGTCCTTAGTGCTACATAAGTAATTATGCAGCTTTAAAGATTTCTTGTACCTAGTGGTAAGGCTTATTCACAAATGCAATACATTTATAAATTACATTTAAAACTGTAAAGGCTGGCAAAACAATGATAAAAAAACCCAAAACCAAAAGAAAACAAACCCCAACCAAAAAAATCGTCTGTTCATCCCTAACGTTAAAAGAGCAGTTTATTATAATGAAAAATCTATTGGCACAAAACCATTATATTATAGATTAAAAGAACAGTTAATAGTAGTGAAAAAGATTGCCTAAAACGCATACCCTAACCTACCACAGAAATATAAAAGTTTATATTCTGAAAATATATACTGTATTAAAGTTTGTAAGCTTATTTGTTTAACAGAAATGTACTGAAATAGTAAACTAAGCAACACTTATCTACAGCAAAAATATACATGCAGGACAACACAAAATAAATTGCTTACCTTTAATATCTACAAATGCAAAACTGTAGATTTTTAAAGATTGTACAAAACAATTTACACAAGAATAAAATAACATACTTAAACAACCAATTGCATTTTTCATCTTAAATACTGTGAATATTAGTAAAGGTACCCAGACTAATATGTACAGTACATCGAGATATCTGAATACCTAGGAAGGACAGAAACACAAGAGAAAATTCTGATTCGGATATTTAAATACTGGAAAAGAAGGTTTCGACATTGTTATTACTCTTTTCTGAAGGGAAAATAGATTCCATGAAAACTAGATTGTAACTGTATAGATATGAATAATTAAAAATGTTAACTATGGTTAGCGCTTGCTTTAATGGAAAAATAATTCTAGAAAATGTATTTCAACCATTCCTTTGTCATAAAAAATGCTAAGACACAGATATCTGAAAATTCAGATGAAATGGTGCAGTTTGAAGATCTAACAACTTCAGATTCTTCTCTGTCTGAAATCTCATTCGGAGAGCTTACCTTCACATTGCTGAGTAATCCTGCTGTAGGTATCTACAAAAACCAAGCACAGTATTGAAAGAAACTTCCTAACATCTTACTAAAACATGACTAGGAGTTATGGCTCTCTGGACGGGAAGAAAGGAAATAAACAGAGGAATTATGGTACTTTCCATTGCTTTTTCACTTGTGGAGTCGTATGCTGGAGGCCTGACTGTGCAAACATGTATGTGTGAGTGGTTTTCACTCGAGCAATCCCTCTCATTTCCAGAGACTCACACGCACTCTGCCACAGGGAGGGTCCCCTGGCCTTGACCCAAGCCAGGATCACGCGCTCCGTGGTGTCGCTGGCAGCTTGTGGAAAGAAGCAAATGTTGGTATAGAACAAGTGGTGCCTCTATCACTTCAGTTACTGAAAGAATTCTGCTTCAGTCATTTAAAAATAAACTACTTGTTTTGACTATCTTTTTCCAGGCATTTTAAACAGAGTAATTAGAAGCCAGATCGTGCCTTTTTAACAAAGAATTTCCATGAGAACTTCTGCCTTTAGGGTAATGATTTCCTTGGAATTCAGTGGTACAATTAGGCCACAGAAATGGGAGTTCTAATTAGCTGTGGACAAAGAAATGTTGCACTAATGTGTTGAAGGCTCCTGTTTACTGTAATCACCTGTTCCTTAACTTTACAAAGGCTCTGTTGACACTCTTCATGGAAATACCAAGAGGGAAAGCCTAGCAGCCTCATTTGAAGAGGTTTAACCATCGTTAAGTCACTGAGCTCAAGGCTGGAGAGCAAGTGCACAAATTACAAAGCAAACAAATGTGCAAAGCTTCTGCTTCAAGAGGTTTTACTTTGGGCGCAGTAAAGTGGCAGGTGAAGTCACAGAGCTTGTGTCATTTCCATGTTCATTGCCTCATTAGCAGGAAAGAGCTGAGAGAGATCCAGTGCTCAGAAATCAGCCAGTGTCACTGAATTAGGATCACATTCTAAAAGAGCAGGTTGGATTTTCCTCATTTATTGTGGACTGCTTTTATGGATAGCCGTAAGTTCTGGCAACAGCTGGTGGGGTAGCCAGATGTGGAGAGCTGGGAAAAGCAAAACAGAACCTCTCCCTCCACTTAGTTCAATACCTAGCACCTTGTACAAACTGTTGGCCCACACCCAAAGGCCTCCAGAGCAGAAATTATCTCACACCTGAGGAATCAGGCAACTAGACTAAGGCTCGTAAGGATTTACTTTTAGACCTCAGATCAAAAAGGGATGTTTAAACCTGAAAAACAGTCTGATGCCACGTAACGGCACCACTCACCCTGTTACTGGTATCTGGTGAACAGGAAGAGAGTAAACTTAAACAAAGCATCTTGTTGGTGAGCCCTTCAGTGCTCCTCAAGAAGGCAGAAAGTGAAGAGAGACTTAAGGGCGACTCACTGTCTCAGAATCCACTTTTTTTTCCCCTTAACCCTGGCAACTGAATCTATTTCATACAGGTTTTGTACAGTTTTACATCTAGAGGAGCATGCACGTGGCTGTTTTGTTTGCTGCCCACAGCATTCTGTGGGGTTTCTATATATTCTTTATTTTTCTACTCAGTTTGCTGCTAAAAAACGTGTTTGCATTCTCATATGATGTCATTAGTTCAGTCAAGGGAAGTATGAAAATAAGATCTGTGATCAATAAACAGCTGAATATGAACACAAAATAAATAAGTTAAATAAATTCAACAAAGGAAAAAACATCCTAGTTTTTGTAAAACTAACTTTACATATTATACATATAAATTATCAGATTCTTTTTTTTTTTCCATTACACTGTTAGAACTCAGAAAAAAAATAATTAAAATATTTCTAAAGTATGGTGTTTGGGTCTACAAAGCATCGTGCTGACCCAGATTTTAGACTGAGCCCTGTGTGTCAGCTCAGATGTGTTGGAACAGCAAGAATAAGTTAAGAAGGACAGACAAAATAAACCCTTACAGATGGGTGAGCCTTCCTGGGCCTCAGTGGTGCTTCTCAGCACGTGGAATGTACAGTTGTATCGGGATGAGCAATGTGAAAGATGCAGCCCTCTGCAGAGATTATGTGCACTGAACGAGCCCCTACGTCTTGGTTACACAAAATCAAACTGGCTACAAGCAGCTGTGTAGCTCACAAGGAAATCGACACAACCATAGGTATTAGGATACACTGTCACAAATTCCCCATTGATGCATTGCCTCTGCTTCTCAAACACAGGTCGTCTCTGACTCTGGTCACAACTGGAGCATCTTCTCTTTTCGTTAGGCCAAGACATCAGACTTCATAAATTTTGTCTTGCAAGTAGCTGAATAATGAATCCAGTCCTTTGGAAGAACTCCACAGCTGTTTTAACATCTGACATTCCTTCTCGTTCACATCTTCAAGTCCAGATTTCAGGAAGCTCCGCACGAGACATTTGGACTCTTCCAATACCTAAAGCCAAAATATGACTTAGTATTTTATTTTAACCAAAGAAATATTATGGCTGATGGCATGACCATTTAGACTACTGACTCTTGTCTTACAATTGAAACAACTCCTTTGGGGACAGACACTAGATCTGATTTGCAGCCACATCTCCACTTGATGATAGTCAGCATCTCTAAGAACTAAGGACTTCTGAGGTTGATGAGTTAGTGCCAACTTTCTTTAAAAAAGAATGAGGGATCCTGAAATACCTTAGTTTAGTGAAGGTTTGCTGTGAAGCACTAGGAGGAGTTGAACTCCCTCACGCTGAAATGACAACGTGTGAGACACGATACATTGGCTACCTGTTTTCTGGCCTTTGAGGTAATACAGGTTGGGAACCCCAATGTGCATGTCTATCATCTTTAATAATTTTCCCTCATGTATTATTTCATTATCAAAACAGAAATTAATAGCAAAGGGCCTTTACTGCCCCTGCCTTTTAAAGTTTATTTACTTACATTTTTATAAAAGTGAAACATTTTATAACAGAAAGGTGTGGAGCAAATCAAGCACCTCTGAATGTGTTCTGAAGTTGGATTTACTTGGCAGATAGAAGTAGCCAGAAAAAATCACCCAAGGCTTTTGCAATAGAAAGCTCAATCTCAAGCCCTTAGTAAGTGCTGCAAGTTCTGAAAGGCACAAACAGCAGGTCCATGGTTGCTCCCCCAGTTCAGCTCATTTTTCCCAGACCCTTTTTTAAGCACGTTGAGACTGATTCCTTTCAAATTCATTTTCAAATAGACACCTCCAGCATGTGTCTCACAGGGAACTCAACCAGTCAAGCAAAACCATTTATAATTCCTGAATTACTGATTTTTTAAGAACAGATTTATTGTAAACTAAGAGAGTGATTTATGGTAAGGGAGATGCATGTTCTTCACTCAGCCTTGTCAACACCTTTATGTTAAACCCAGTTCCTATCTCCTGTAGGTTACAACTCTGCAGTTTCCAAAGCAGTATTTCTTTTTGGCTCAAGTGAATGGTGTTAGCAAATAACAGGACCTGTGTATTTTTTGAGTCTGTTTGTGAACAAGTGTCCACAGTGAATGTGGATGAGCTCACCATACTCATTGTGACTTCAGCCTGATTTGCATTTAGGATCTGAGAGTAAATCTAGTCTTTGACAGGTTTAACTGTTATCTTTGTCCACAAGTCAGCACTGGTTTTTCTAACGGGTCTCAAGAGAAAATTTCATTGCCAGCTATGAAGGAAAGAAGGAAGAATTCACAGTAAGGCCCAGAGGTTTTCCCAACTCATATAATACACATTATATCAGCATCATCAAATAAACTTCTGCTACATTTCCAGACACTTTCATTCTCGCTGTCTTCTGTGAGATCTAATCTACACTTCATTTAATTAAAAATCTCCTGTGTCTCTACCTCCTTTTACAACAGATCTTTTAAATGAAACTGAGGGATGCTAAGACAGTTTCAGGCATAGGAAATATAGCAAGGAACTAACAATTTGCACTTTAATTAGTGCAGTTTTATTGCACACAGCATCACTTACTTCACTGCATTTATTTTAAACAAGATGTGCCCAGAATAGGAGTATATCTGCCTGAAGGGAAAAAAAACCTTAGGAAGTAAAAATAAGAAAGGATTTTCTTGCAATTTTTGAGTACACAAAAGAGAAGTTTTAACACACTGTGACCAGACTGTGTTCAAATCCTCTCTTGTCTGGATCTCACCTCTCCTTCACAGCAGAGCTTAGCTGGCACTACCCTACCCTTCTGGTGTGCTGTGTAGAACATTCTGCAGCATCAGGAACTGTGCAGGTGCAGACAAGAAGGCAGACTCAGCTGTAACATGGTAGGCCAGGACAAGGTGAAAAGCAAATCTATCTTCTTATAAGGCCTACAGAGATTTCCCAGTACAGTTGTGTAGTTTCAGACTCTTCCACCTTCATGAAGGAAACCTAAAATCCCCTTTCAAAATCTGGAGCGAGAAGGTTCCACTCATGTTGAATAAAGGTAAAGATGGGGAGAGGCAATAACCCTCCTTGCCCCTGAAAGATGAGAAACCTCATGAGCTCACTGATCCTTATCCAGAGTATTCTGATGTTAGCCTTCTTTCACAGGTGTGGTTGAGGAAACTGAGGACCCACCATGTGATGAGCCTTGGGAGCACCTTATCTCTCTGAAACGTAATTTCATCACAAAGGAGTTTGAGTTCTTACCACTGCACTGCAGGATGCCATTTCTTTCACTCGTAGCATCACTTCTTGGCTAAATGTTGTTGGCCAAAATACTTGTGACACTAGTCCTCTGCTGCAGGCCTCCTGTGCTGTCAGCTTTCTCCCACAGAACAACATTTCATTTGCCTGTGAAACCAAAAGACAACTGGTAATCTTGGGTTATAATTCCCTTCACATTTCTTTCATACTTGCCTGCTATTTTTAAATTACAAATTTTAAATTTACAAATGTTCTGCTGTAGCTTTCCATACTGCAAACTACTTTAAAAGGAGTTTCAGTAGCTATTTAAGGGCTGTGCAGGTGGCCAGAGCACAGCATGGGTTTCGTTTCAGAGAAATGTGCTGGCATGCATGGTGGATCTGTACTGCTGCTCTTACAGGAGTAACTGTCAGTGATGCTGTGGTGAGAGTCATGGAACCTTGTATGAACCATTTGTGGGGCAAATTCTGCTTTATTATCCTGGCAAAAGCTAAGCAGTTTTACTGGAATCATTATGGATTATCTTTAGAGAGCAGAGAGCAGTATCTGGCTGTGTTGCTGCCCAATCCTAACACAACACAGACAACTACTCTGCAAGATTATTCTGCTAATGTATTTCTTCACTTTCCTACCATGACATTGACAATCGTTGCTTTTTCAACCTGTGTCCAATCTTTCTTGTGCACAGCAGGTGTAGTATATTGAATTCTGAGGTCAATTTGTAATATGAAATCGATAGGGATTAGATGAACTTTCCACATGTTTCATTTCCATTCAAGACAATTAAGAGAAACAACTGTTTTCGGGTTTACTTTTCTAAAGAGAGAAAGAAGAGCAGGAATTTATGAAAGGTTCTTCAGCAATTGGAGGTGGAAAACCTTACCAGTGCAACACCCAGAATTTGTGGGAATGTGTATGATGAGCAGCCAGCTGGAGTGAGTCGGATTGTTGCATATGGTGTCTGAAACCAAGCCTTCTCACTTGCCCAAACGATATCACACAGTGGTAAAATAGAAGCTCCTAACCCAAGAGCAGGGCCGTTGATAGCAACCACAATTGGCTTCTTAAATTGAATAAAAGCTTTTACAAAATCCCTAAAATAAAAAAATAAAGACCTTGAATACAGAAGGAACACTTAGATAAATACCCAAGTTTAAAGTACTTAATCTGAAAACATATTAGAAGCACAGATGAACACAATAAATGCCATGGTCCAGTTTTAGGAGGTTAGAATTATAAGATACTTTCTAGTTTGCACATGGGAAAGTTTGTTCATTTTTTGTTATTTAATCTGAGCACCTGGGATATTGCATAGCTTTGTGTATGTTGTATACAAACTAAGTGGACTGCACTGACTGTTGTACCTCTTGCAGAAAGGTTTGGTTGGGTTTAGTTTTACTTCTGGACCAGTAACTCCTGAGTTTGTACACAGGCTGTTTGCTCCATGATGGACCAGCTGGTTTGGCTAACAGTGAAATATTATAGTGTCAAAGACAGGAAACTCATAGGTGGATTACTGAATTATTTTTTTTTAAAGTTCTCTTAAGATCCTGTGTCAAACATTACTGCAAGTCCCATCAATGGATTGGGAGCCAGTGAATATTTATGGCACACCAGCAGGAAGAACAAGGTGTGCAAAGGGGGATCAGAGAGAGAGAGAAACGTTTGAACAGGGAAAGAATCTGTTGGGTCTTCATTGGAAGTATCTTCAGCAAAGCCATAACAAAGCAAATGCCCTTCCCTGCCTACACCAGTAAATGTGAAGTGCTGAGAAATAACAGGGAAGTAAATGCCATTGGATGCATCTGGATGAATGAACTAGAACATGTTAAATTCAGTGCAACGAGGAGATCTTTTAAATAAGTTACCTACAAGCAACTGTGGAAAGACATCTGTTGAATGGAACAGCCTCCACACCAATTAGGAGAAAGCATGAGGGAAATTGTGGGCAAATTATGGGCTGCAGCAGCTCAGTGCACAGCAGGTATATGGAGGCAAACGAGATGCTCAGTTACTTTAGAAAAGAGACATTTATAAATCAAATTCCAGCCAAAAGAGGAAATTCTGTTCCTGCACTGGGTATTGATTAGATCCAGAGTGCATCTTTGCTGACAGGTTTTAGGAAAGATAATTTTCTCAAGCGGGCCCTTTGATGAGTTGCAGCTCTCCCCATGAGGTCCAAAGGACCCAGAGTTCTGTACCTGAGAGCAGGTGTGCCCTGCAGGCTAGAGAGCCCATTTGGAGACTGGGCTGAAGTGCAAGGGTACTGGCTATGTTTTAAATGAGAAGAAAGAGTCCAAGGTGACCCATTGTTAAATTTTCAATGAATAACATCTGGTTTTCAGGGTATCTTGTAAAGTGAATTTTTGGTCGTGGGAAAATAGAGAATTAATTGCTACAGCTCTGTTCACACAGTGAGTAATAAACCAAGAGATCAGTGTCAAGACAAAGCAAGTGAAATAAGGAACATTGGTTTTGTCTGTTCAAGACCATTTCTGTGCAGAGGACAGGAGGGTTAAGGAGAGTTGTGGTTCATTTCTACTGCAGAAACAATACTGTTCCCTTATCTCATTATTTCTTTGGTTGTTTATGGTTGAGTAATGACTGTGGACCACTGTACCTCACTAATTCTGCGATTTTGAGAACCTTAGTAGTTAAGCAAGTAAGCCTTCTAAGCAGGACTAAGATGGGAACAGGGATGTGATGAATGATAGGTAAGGAGAAAATAACTAAGGATAAATGGTTGTGGCAGATCTGAGTAGTGTGTGGAGGCAGATAAAAATAGTCTTGTGGAGAAAAGCAGGAGTCATGGTGATATACAGGACTGGAAGTGAATATGGAAAAGCAATTAGGGGTGTGGAGAGGAAACAGTTAGATGATGGGAAGGAAGAACAAAACAGAACACACTGATGGAGGGGAAGGATTGAAGGAAGGCTTCATATGAATGAGCAAGGAAGGGAGGACATGGAGATGGGGAGAGAGTGGTCCAGAACATTAAGGCGGCACAATGTGCCTCTGTAATGAAGGAAGGATGAGGAGCACAGGAGATAGCACAATGGATGGATATAGAACATGCCACCCACAGGATGGAGTGGAAGGCTACAGCACTGGGAGATTATGAGGGAAGCAAATGCTTGCATTTGGTCTAGGAAAGCTGCAGTGACCAGCACTCCACTCATCTGTGATCCCTGTTTGGTTCCTTGTTTCAGTGAGTAATCTTTGCCCTGAACTAGAATGTTTCTATTGCCTCCAAACCTTCACGTGAAGTTGCTGGGCTAGAAGATCCTTGTAACTGTTGTTGCACAGTAGAGCCAGATGCTCAAAGAGGAAGCAGTGTCTGCAGAAGGCTTTTGGTTTTGCTAGAGGATATCTGGGGAGTTGACCATCGAATACACTCTGGGATGCTCAGACACGGTTGCGGGGCTCTTGCTGCAGGTCAGGGCTTGTAAGCACATCCAAGGTCATAAAGAAGCTGAGTGGGTAAAGTTGTTGTTCTCTGGTTTCTTCCGAGCACGCCCAGAATGTTGTGTCTGGAGTCACACAACGATGCCCAGCTGATGGTGTGAGCCTGATGCTGGGAATGCCTTCCAGCAAGTCTCTTGATTCCAGGGCTCTGCAGGCCACATATGCACAGCTGCACAGCCTATCTGCCTTTTCCCTGCTCCAGGAGGGCAATGCCAGACACACGTGTGGATGATGTCAGCTCAGGTTGCTGGATCTGTGATCAGTGCCTGGAGAGGAGCTACAGAGCCACAGCCCTGTGGGTTGCAAGCCCCAGTGGCAGTGGATGAGGACATGGGCCAAATGCATCAACCATTCATGAGAGATGGACTTGATGGGTATCTAAGCTTCAGTTTAACTTGTGACTGGTCTATGAGATCCATATTTTAGACAGTGGAAACACATGCAATGGAGATTTCAATTTCATGTTGATCCCAGTCTAACTGGATGTAAACAGTGGAGGCAGAGGTCTGTGGATGAGTTTTGGGACATCCTAACCACTGAAAAAGCGCTGGACATTTTTTTCTACCCTTCTTACCGTGTATTTTCCATGAGTTGAGTTCTTTGTTCACAGAAAGCACAGAGAGTGCTACATGGAAAACGTAGTGTATTGTTTCCAGAAGTACAATAAAAATCTATTTTCAATGGGCCTGAAGCTGACATTCTTGACAAGGAGCAGTACATTGTACCAGTATTCCAAGAGTGTTCTGTGAGCCCAAGGGTGGAAAAACTGAGTATCACAGTCTGGCTTATACTCATTTAAATGCTGAATCAATAAGTATACCTGTATATTAAATGTGTGCAGATAAATGTAAACATATATAACAATACCTAACTATGAAATATTTACAAGAATTATATTAAATTTCTATCTCCTGGGGGATTGTGCGATTTTTTTCCCCATACTTTTCTTTTTTTCCTGGTTCCACATTGTTAACAACCCTGCACATCAAAAAATAAAATTAGGATGTGTCCTTCAAAGGGTTTCGCTCTTTTAAAATATCATTACATGATATTCAAGCATAGCTCAGGTCTTAAAAACATATCATAATTTCTTACATTTAAGGAGTACATTTTAAGTTCTTTCAAAATAATTACTACTTTGAGAATTTCAAAAGACTTAAACCAAGAATCCAAACTGATCTGCAGTAGTTGTAACTAAGATCATTGGTGGTTAATATATGTCATGTAATAACTAAACCTGATTTTATGGTCTACTAATATATCAGAAATAGAGATCTGTTGTAAAACAAATCCTTTAATATTCCTTCACAGAATTGTTGCATTAAGTTTTAAAGCTCTCAGAAGAGTAACATTTATTTGTAGGAAATGGGGGAAAAAAGACCAAACTCTCTCCTGACAAAATACCACTGGCTTTAGTGGAATAATGTTGATTTATACTGGAAGATCCACTGTCTGGATAATGGAAAATTTGGTGCTGTGTTGTGCAGATTGATTTGCAAACTGCATGTCATAAACCCTGGGTTTCTATTAAGGTAATGTGATATAGATATAAGGAAAGTCACATTTTAGTTACAAAAATAAAACTGCATTTCCATATATATTAAGTAATTTAAATTTAAGAAAAAGAGTGGAGACCCTTTGCATAAGGTTCTGAAACACAGTGGCAGACTTATTTCAACAGAGTGTGAGTGAGCCATGGATTCCCATTTGGACTGAAATTCATTAAAATGATGAACATAAACCGAGTGAAATATCTGCCTTTCAGAACCATTTCAGAACATGAAGCAACAGCTAATTTGGAAAAACAACAACGAAGTTGTATTTGAATTTGGAGGAATGATTTGAAATATTAAATACAGAGAACTGGAATGAAATAAATCCCTATGTATGTTAGCACCGGAGTCAATGTGCTTTCTCCTCTCATAAGGAAAGGTCCAAGTTTCTTCTTACTGAACAAATTTGTAGGACTGTAATTCAAATGCAATCAACACTTAAATATACAACATTTTTGGACCTGATAAATATTTTTATCATCACAAACTGCATTTCATAATTTAGAGATCATAGGTAAGCTTGGGTCACCTTATAGCTTCTGCAATCCTAGTGCTTTCCTTTCTTCTGTCATTGGATAACCTGCCAATTAAATATGAGTAATCTAGGCCACTACAGAATACACTTCCCACTGCGCTGAGAAGTAAGAGTTTACTGTCATCAGCTGATGCATTGCACAATGCTCTCCGAACTTCCTTCATGATCTGTGGATAAAGAAAAGCAAACAATTCGACATGCATGCCGTTGCAATATCATTTCCCTACTTTTACAAACCTTACTGATTTTGAGAGACTTAAATTTTGGGCACTATTAATATTTACATCCATTATATATATTACTATAATTTTAATATACTTAGAATGGTAACACTGAGAGTTTACAAAATATTTTATATTTGGCAGAGCTTTGTTGATGGTTAATAATTCAAAGAGGTTTTGGGTCTTGGCTGTTCTTTGCTTGCTGTATGGGAAATTCTGGCCAGCTTATGAGATTGCAATTTAATAATTGCAAACACCCCTTTTTTATTTTCATAGTGTACATCACTGCATCCTCAGGAACATGGTTATCACAACAACAACAGCCTATTATTAACCTCAGCAGGTTGTAAGCAACATCTATAAACCCCAGTTTTCAGTTCTTTAACTACTTCAGTTTATGTAACTTCAGCCAGAGCAAAGCAGGACAAGAGGACATCATATACATCAACATGACAAATATATTACTCATTTTCCTGTGGTCAGTGACATTGTTACAGTCTACAAAAGTTAGAGCAAAAAAGTCACTTGAAAGAGACATTTTGACTCTGAATTACAACTGGATCAAGCTACTAATTGCACCATCAATCAAACCTAATAAAAATCTGTATAGAACTGAGCTGTTGGTGTTATAGGAAAATGGCCTTTCACCTGTGCAGAGAATTATCTTCTACTGATTTTTAAAAGGAAATATTTCATAAACCTCTGATGGGTAACTTCTTGTTTGGTCAAACCTGAGCATGGTTTGTGAGCTGCAACTGATTTCAGCCATTTCAGTCCCCTCTTCTCTTTAATGATTTGCTCCTCACTGTAAGGGCCATGATTTCATCTAGTGTGACACCTCCTATGCTTAATCATGCTCATCTGTCAAAGGATTTCCTATAGACAGGGTCCTCTTGAGTCATTTTCTTCCCTTTTGCACTGAAAGATTTGCTGTTGGTGTAAATTTAGGTAAGAGATAGCTAAATGTGGTCGGGGATTTAAATATAGTTTCCAAGAGAGAGAAAAACCAAGATTTTTAGCCTGTGATTATTTCTGTTCACTACTTTCTGTTTCCAAAAATCCTTCAGATCTCTAAAATGCCTCATTGTAAGAAATGTCCCTAAACACTGAAGTTCTGTTGATGCCATTCTAGGTAGCCTTTTATTAGAAATCCTGTAGACTGTGCTACCTGCCTCTTTTCCCTAAAGTGTTTGTGTAAAGAGGAGTATTACAGGCTGCTGGGACTGGGCCATGAGAGAGCAGGTGGTGAACTTTTAGATGCTTCACTTCTACAAGTGCACTTCAGAACGCTGTAATACCGAGTGTGTGACAGTGGGTGGAAGTGAAGTAATTAAAAGCAGCAGAATTTGGAAGTGTATTTGAAATTCTTATGCAGGTACAAAAATGTCATCATTGATTTTAGGAGTACTGTTTATTCTGAGAGTCTCAGAGGCTGTCTCAGCCCTCAATTGGGAAAAACAGCAAAACTGCACCTATAATGGGGAAGCAAAGGCAAAAAATCACCCTAAAACCACTGTTCAGAGTTAAAAGGTGGTAGATGTTAAAAAAGTAATCTGATTTTCCTAGTGTCATGTGACTGCAAGATTGTCCTCTTAGTTTGTTGTAAATATTCTCAAAATCTGCTCTTCCTTAGGGCAGATGTATAAATAGTACCAGGGAATACCAAACATTTTTATATGCAATGAGGCATGTTGCACTAAATAAGATGCCACAATACTCCACTCAGCAAGTTCCTTTACTATTCCCCTTCCTCCAGTGGTATTTGCATATGTGCCATCTCTTTGCTGCTACCAATGCTCTCTTCACACACATCATTAATTACCACTACAACCCTGTCTCATTTTTACCTCACCCCTCACTGATTTGGATGGCTAAAGCCATTGAAAAGCCATCCAAACTTCTGAGCAGAGCTTATACTACTTGTAGGAAACCCCACTCTTCTGCCATCACTGTTTTTTCAGTGTTTTGGAGTGGGAGACGTTGAAAGTCTGTTATTAGGAATCGATTCCTCAGATATGGTTGAAAGTGGAAGGGCTTTGGTGAGTATTTTTGAGCAGGAGGGGAAATTTAGTTCCACTGCTCCACTAGTGTCTAGCAAAAGAAACCAGGAAACCATTACGTATCAGCACTTTCAGGCTTCAAAAAGTGTGTTTGGGTTTTTTTAATAGTTGTAAATTTGTCATTAACTTTATCATCCAAAGGTGCTTTGAGGCTCACTGGAATGTACCAATGCAGCCAAGTCAATTCTCACTCCCTTGGTCTATGCCATGATTCCCTTGCTGGTGCAATCCAAAATTCCCCTGGTCACCTTGTCACTCAGCCTGTTCCATCTGCTGCTCCAGAGAGCCTTGGCACCACAGCTTTCCTCCTGGATTACGTGGTGTGGGTATTTCTCTACCGATGTTTCTCTGATTACAGGAAAGCTACTAACAATAAAATAAACACAACCCCCTGGTTTGTCTGCAGGGCTGCAGAACTGTCTATTGAACTGCAGGACTCTAAAGTAAATAGAATTTAGTTCAGAACTGCTCTCTGTTGTTAAGCACAAATTTCCATTTAATGTAGTGGTGAATTCAGTTCTCAAATACAGAGATATGATGTATCTTTAGTTACATTTCTTTGTCAAATTCCACATTCTTTTTCTCTGTTCCACAGCCCTTAAACCTTCCAACATTTTGGTGTAACTGTGGCATTTGTCCAATTAAATTTTATTTTCTCTGGTGGACCAGATCTAATACTACTATTTCCAGAGCTCCTTAGCAGTATTCTCCACTTTTATGCTTTTATTAATTAGCTTGTTTATGGCCTTTTAGTTAATTTTCAGTTCTGGGGACAGTATTCAAATGGGTCTGACTAAAATATCTGAGGAAGGATTTACAGAGCAGTATGGGCCAGTTATTTAGGTTATGATAATCAGTTGGATTATAAATTTAGACCAGGTCTAGTGCTTCACTTACTGTTTTATTGGAACCCAAATATATAATAAAATTATCACCTTCTCAGAAGTTGCCTATATTTTTAATCCTGTCAAGAAAATAAGCTGGTTAATTCTTGAACAGGACACCTTATATTGCAAAATAAACATAAAATGTTTAAAAACTTCATTAAACTTCTAAGAGCTCATTTTAATGCCTTTCACTGGATGTAGGAAATTTCAAAAGGCATTTGGTGCCCTTTGCTTTCCATATTGCTTACATTCCAGGGAAATCAGAGAGCTGGGAATTTATCACTGTAATTACACGAAGTATCTTGAACAGAAGTCTCTTGTTCATACACACAGAAATACTAGTTTAAAAAGTTAACTTCTCTGAATCTCTAAGGAATCACTGTTGATATTCTTGAAGATAAATACGCTGTAAATATTATGGTAAAACAAAATTTTAAAGCTGTTCAGTTGTTCTTAGAACCTCTTCAACACTTGTGCCTTTTTACATAAATACACTTTGTTACTGACTCTGAGCAAACAGATTCTGAGTCCTTTTTATTTGGTACCTGAAGGACTTGGGAACCTCCAAAGCTGCAGGCACAAGGACTGGCCCAAACCCACATTTAGCTTAGTTTACTTATTTTATTATTTTCAAGTTAGGAGAAATTTTAAGTAAGAACAAGTGAAGGCAAACCAGTGCTCCAAAATGCACCTGGTGCAACTTCAAACCCTGTAATTCTCACAGCTAGAAAACTGAAACCTGATTCCTGGGTATGAGAAGGTGCTAGTTCTGTCAGTCTTCAGTGGCAACACTGGCTGTTTGGGGAATGTTTTGCTTGTAATTTAGAAGAATATTAATTCCTAGCTCTGTTAATGGTGTTAAGTAAAAACAGTGGTTGGGTCTATTCAGTATTAAGTTTGAAACAGAATTTGGATCCTTGAGATGAACAGCAACATTGTAATTGGAGAAAGAACTTCAGAAGCAGCAAAAGACTCATGAGAGAAAATGCCCTAATGGAATTTATAATGATGAAATATTTCATATATGTGTTTTAAAAATGAGTTTTAAAACTGAATTTTGAAAGTAGCAAGACTAAGGTACTGAAATAAAAATAAGCTGTGCTGTTTCATGACACTGGTTTGGAAGTTTTATAAGGTCTTGTAAAAAATAAGAAAGAATTTCTATAGTGCCCTGAACAATTTTGTAGAAAAAACCTCAATTACTAGAGTGGCACAGAGCCAAGTTCAATCAGTGCAAAAGCTGCTGGAAGTAGTATTGGCACACTTTGTGCTAAAATCACCTGCACAAATGTGGTTACCAAAAACACAGGATGAACATTCAGGTAGACTTCTGAAGGCTTTCATTTTTCTTTGTACTTTTGTTTTTTTGGTATCAACAGCCCTTTGTTATTTTAATTAAACTGGCATAAATAGCAGAGGCCAATGGTTGAACACAACTATTAAATTTCACCTGAAGTTTAGGATAAAGTGCAAAGGGAAGGAGAGTTGTTGAGGGGTGAGAGGGGTTTTGTATAAGCTTAACTTTAAAATGACTGTGGGCAGTGCACACCTTTTCTTTTTTTCTTACTATAGATGGCCCAGAATAACCAGATCACTACTTTAACCACTTCAAGTAGACCTGCCCTGAGTAAATTATTCGTTTACTATTTGGCAAACATCATTTACTGAATATCTAGTAAAGCTTGAAGTTTGCATTTCTTTTCACCAAATGACACATGCTTTCTTCACTGGGTAGCAATTTTGTGTTCGTACTTTCTATTCACTGGTGATAAAAGGCATCAGAACTGAAAATGCTGTAAACATCCCTAAAACACTCTGTCAGTTTGTTTCACCTATGGCTATGGGTGACAAACTGCAGGGACAAGGCATTCAACATATTCTTCCTTTCAGTTCCTTGGATTTTTGCTGTAATTGCCAGCAAGGATACGGAACTGCCCATGCTGAAGGTGCTGGATTTTGTGGTGTGAATGATCATGGGCAGCAACCTGGACTGAGGCCAAAGAAGCTGTTTCATGTTTGCCAGCAGCAGCCTTCTGAGGGCAAGAGCTTGCAATTGCTCTCAGCCTGGATGAGGTTTAAACAGACAATCCCGATGTGCAGAACTCATTACCTTGATTAATTCCTGACCATCCAGCTCCTAGGCAGTAATGTAGTTTTCTAAAATGTATTTCCTGGTTTTCAAGTGAGCTTCAATAAAGGTTCTAGAAATAGTCTACACTGGTGATGCAGGGAGAGGACTATTACATGCTTATCATTTATTCTTCCACAGAGGTGGGTTCCTGGCATATTGAAAAATTTCAAAGGATGAAATGGATTGGTTTGGCAGACCTGAAGAGCCTGAATTAATCCTCTGGTTAGAGCATCTGAACACTGCTGATGTGGAACAGCACAGCCAGTAACGTAAAGCTGTGTCTGCTCAGCCTGAACACACTAAGTCCTTGATTTCATACCTTTTCAGGCCCTTGAGCTCTTAGCTTAAATTACCTGCAGTGGCAATTAGTAGCAATTAAGACAGGGATGGCGTGATGGATTTGATGTAATCTAATGCATTTTAAGGAATTGGTATTAAAAACAAGTGTTTGGTGTTCTGCGTTAATTACCAAGATGGTCCTTCTAAATATTAGATAGTTTAAAAACTAGGAGTGATAAATATATGTACCATGAGTTTTAACTAGTATCATTCTGTATATCACTGTCCATGTGTACATGTGCATTTGGCAAGAGTCATCATATTTAGGACCCATCATACCTGCCAGTGGTTTTATCTGAAATTCATAAGTAATTAATTTCAGTTTCTTATTGAATAAAATGATTCCTCAAAGCTACAAACTACTCTTCCCTCAGAGGGTGCTCAAACTGGTATTTCATATACTCTTATCTGAAGTCACTGTGTAGGACAGAGCTCTGTCAGAGTGCCTGGGGGCCAGAAAAGGCTGAGATCTGCCCCACTGCAGGAGCCCTTGGAGGAACTCTGCCTGCAGAATGCTCAGACAAGCACAACAAGTGCTGGGAGGCAGCTCCTGCTGTTTCCTCTCTGAACGATGTGGATGTCCCTCAGGCCATTACTGCCCACATGGAACAGAACTCAGGCATTTTCTCTTCTCTCCAGGACATAGATCCTGCTGCAGGCATTTATGGACACCCCTTTTCTTCTGGCATGGGAAAGGTGTGCCAGGGCATTGTGGCTCACTCTGCTGGGATCACATGGAATGGAAGGAAAAGCTGCTCAGCCCTTCCAGTGATCCATGTATGGACTGGAGTAGAACAAGCTACAAGTCCAAGTCTGACCCTACATGTACAATGTTTGGAACAAGGGAATTCTTATTATCTTTTGTATGTTGTATGACTTTATGCAATTCAGCTGAGGATAGAGCTCCTAATTGGGTGATACTTCATAAACAGGGACTCATACAGTGATTCAGAAAAAAATTAATTAGGTATTAAGACAGATTTTAGAATTACTGTCTCAGGATATAGCCTGAAATTCTCTGTATGCAACAACTGGAGCACTATTTAAATTAGTATAAAGAAAGAGACCAGATTTTGCCCAAGGATAGTAAATATCAGTAACTTCTGCATGTGAAAAGCTGCTTCACATAACTCCATGCTGGAAATACTGATTCTGCCATTCCTTTCTTTACTTCTAATTTTCATTTTCAGACATGTAAATGAAAATTTAATCTCCACTGCATTCCTTTTGACAGGAATCCCAAGCGTGACAAAGTTAGATATGGCTGAACTCCCTATTTCTTTTCTAAGATCATCAATTAGGAAACAAAATACATAAAATCGAGTTCAAGTGCAGTGTTTCCAAGATAACCCACACATTAGGATGGCTTTCTTTGGCTTTTATGGCTACATACTTACCTCTGGGGTCAGTGCATTGTTCTCTGAAGTCTGACTAGACAGCAAAATATGTGTGAAACCATCTTCTTTCCGGACCACAATGTCTCTAAACCGGCAGTTACTTTCATTTTGTCGCACGCTGTATCTTAGTCTCTTATCGAAGACATAATCTTTCTCCCCACCTAGTTTCCTTTTCACAGTGCTGTGTAGATTCAAGCTTCCATTGGCCAGAGTAGAACCTTTCAGATGGAAAGAATCAAAGCATAATTATGTCTAGACCCTCAAAGAAATGGAGTGATAATCTCTGTTAGCTTAAACACGGCTCAGTATTTACAATAACCTCTATGTGATGAATTTGGGAAACTCAAAATGTGCTTGGCTAGACGAAGGTGGCCTCAAGCCATTCTGCTTCAGTATTCCAACATGCAGAACATTTTGTTCTCTGATCAGACAACCTCTAGACCCACTGAACTGTAGCATGTAGGACTGGTACCTGAATGGTACCAGTTCTGCTTTAAAGATGAAAGCAACTGTATCACAACCTTTCATATGAATTTGGGGTAATCCTTGATTTGTAAAAAGATTCTGTTTCAGCTTTGGAAACTCAGCATGCCAGGTTTAGTCCAAATCTCATCTATCAAAAGTATATTTTCTTCCCTTTATGGTGACCAAACAGTCATTACCAGTCTCAAATGACAGCCTGAACACACCCTTGTTGCACATCTCTGTGACGCTAAGTTTGGGGAGTTCTTACCAAGGTGACATAACCAACATTCTCTTCCAATTATCCTTGTGGCTGGCACAACATATAGAAGTTAGCCACCCTTTTGGCTCTGATCTCAAACCTCTGCTCCCTAACATTTTACAGTAACAATAATTACTGACTTTACACTAACAGGTATATTAATACTGGACTTTTTACACAGAAAATATTAATGCTGAAACCGTTTTGGAGAGTATCCAGCAGTAGGGAAAAAGAGAACTATGAGAAGAAAGATATAATTCCTCCTTAAAACCAAGTGAGAGTAACAGTAAGTCAATTTTAAAAGACAGTTCATTCTGACTTACACTGTGCATGAACTGTAAACTATTACTTTGCTGATGCTTACAGTCCCTCTGGAATAGGCAGTAGGTGATGACTGGTAACAGTGCTGAGTGGGGGCACTGAATGAGCATTACAAGATTTGTATGCCATAATCCTTTTCTAATTACAGATGTTTCACACTATTGCCATTAAAAGTAAAGCAGAGACAGGTTGTTGAGGGACAGAGATTAGACACTGTTTTTTGTTTAAATAGACACAAGTCAACACTACACCATTTTAAAGAAAGGCCAAGAGAGAGCTGAATGAAAACACCTTTGTTTGTTCTGTTCTTTATTCCTACCAAAGCTGACCTGTTCCAGCTTCTGGTTTCAAATAGCCAGGAATTTTTAAAGGGCAGATGACACAAATATTAGAACACAGATTTAAGTTTTAAAGTTTCAGTAACTGCGATCCAATTAAAACCGCTCTGTTGGAATAGAATTGAGTGGTGAATTCATGACAGATGACTCCAAACCAAAATCACTTACCCTCATTTTGGATTAGCTATGTTTCAGCTTGATGCTTACGTAGGTAACTGATCTGTCTGACACTCACAGTTGGCAGTGGCCTGTGGAATTGTTCACAGTGTGAAATCCTGTGTGTGCACTGCAGTTATGATATGGGATGTGAAAACACAGAGAGTGCTTAGCAGTATGTGACTGGTGATGTGATCTCACATCTCACACATCTCCTGTGATGTGTGCACGTGTGTACACAATATCTACACACAGCAGTGCACTTTTGTCCCAAAGTTTGTTAGTTCAGTCAATCATAAAGCTCTTTTTCATTGCTAAATTAAGAGATACCCCCTACAGCATCACCTATATTATACTGGATAGAGGATCTGCCTGCAAACACTGCCAAATTCCATTAAATCATCACTGTAAAAGAATAATTTGAAACCAGAAGAATTTGAACTTTGTTTTCTTGACAAAAAGTATCTACAAGTGTAGAAACCAGCATGTGCTTGAACTTTAAAAATGATGAATCATTTCCTATGGCATGTTTCTTCTTTTTCATAGGGTTTTGCTACTGCATCTATTTTGACAAGTATTATTACAAACAAAAACAACTTATGATACTACCAATGGAACACTGGTATCATTGGGAACAATATACTGAAACTAATTCATCACTTGACTGAGGCAGAATATTAAATATTGCATATTTATATATTCAATCCTCACCATGTTGCTTGACCCAACAATAAGCTACTGAGATGCAGTGAGCTAAACCTCCCCTCAAAAGGTGGGAAGAATCTATAACATCAGAGGTACAAATGCTCATTGAATGGAAGGTGTGCCAGACTAACTGCACTGATTATCTACCTAGTGTGGAAGATCATGTCACATCTATTTTAAATACAGATGGTAAGAGAATAGTAGAAGATGAACTCACACATATAATCCAGCTCAAAAAAAAGCCTCACACTAATTCCTTTAGGATTTTTGTTTTATTCTTTGTTTATGTATTCAATTTTCAAATGAATATATGATGTAAGAAACTACAGACCTTCTCAAGATATTTTAACTACCTTCATGCCAGCTGAAAGAAATTTAACCAGAGGAAAGATCTAATTTAGTATGAAAGAAACATAAATGGAAAAGTGTAATTTCCAGGAGTGGATGATTAACAGAACAATATATAGTGAGTAAATTGTTTTCATGTCTATAGTGCATCCCTGGAATCTTGTTTAATCTCATAAACTGCAGAAAATTATCAACATAATCTAAAGACAACACTGATAGGGAATCAGGCCAATTTAGCATGTCTGTTGCATGGAGGTGGTGGAGCTACTGAAGGTTTGCTCTGGAGACACTAAAGCATCCAGGATGTCTTTGCATGAGGGTTGATGTGAGCACCTGCTTAGTCCACACAACACTAACAGCACCTTAGCATGTCAAGATGAGAAATGACATTGACAGGCAAAAAGAGACATTTTCAAAGCAATCTATACTGCACATGAAACAAGGAAGCTTTAGGTACATCTAAGTGTGGTTTACAGACTTAGTAATGACTATTTGATGCTCAGTCTAAGTACAAGAAGAAAACAGAAAGGGAGAAAATATTCCTTCATTTAGTGGGAGTTTAATCTAATTATTATCTTGTTTTTAATCAGCAGTAGAACTTGTGGAACACCTAAACCAACACTGACATTTAGAAGAAGTTTCTCCATGTTTTAAGGGAACCTACGATATTCCCAGACCACTGGTGCATGCAGTAATCCTTCTCCAAGAATGGCAGTCAAGGATGGCAGTAAAGAATGCTATTTAAGGAGAAAATGCAAGCATGGTAACTTTCTGAAGTCCTTTCCCATAGCATCATCCCGAAGTGTTATATAGGAATATGAGAGGGTTCATCCTTCCTGTTTCCTTCAGCATTTGCTTGTGGACCTTTTCATGGATTTCCCTAATCCATCTTTGAGCCTGTTGATGCTGTCTGTCTCCACAGCTTCCTGTGGTATGAGTTTGAGAAGTTGTGTAGCCACTACACAGAGAAGAATTTTCTTTCATCTGTGCTTTTATCTGATGTTCCACCAGTTTCAGGGAGTGGTCCCTAGTTCTGCTATCGAGGGATTTCATGACTAACAGTTCTGCATTTACTATATCTGAGGCCTTGATGATTTTGTAAACTTTGATCATGGTTCCCCCTTGGCCACCCCCTCTCCTAACTGAAGCCTCTTTTATTCCTGTAATCCTCTTCATTTTAGCTGCCCAACCATGGATCTTCTACACTACTGCATCACTGTCAAAGGAGACAACATGTAACGATGCTGCTGCTGCTGCTGTTGGCACCAGAATGTGCCTCAAGACTCCATTTGAAAGACTCCATTATACCAGGCATGGCAGAAAACACATTAGAAATTTATAATCTAAAAAGCTGAGGCAAAGAGTGGGAGAGGAAGGAGACAAAGGATTGCAACGATCCTCAGTGCTTTAGGGGACTAGGAACTCCACATCTCCTTCCACTGCTTCCACCCACTAGTGTGGAAGATCGACGGGAGAAATGCGCACCCGATGGTGTCCAGCAAGACTCGTTTATTGTAAGCCATCGTCCATCTTTTATACAGTGCATGAACAACTATGCTTATTGTTCTCTTTACCATTACCTAAACTCTAAAAGTTACATTTGTATACTTTCTTAGCTTGCAGGACAACTATACCTATTACTCATTTTAGCATTACCTAAGCTCTACAGGTTACATTTATTTACTATGTCTGCTTGCAGCTGCAGCTGTGAAGAAGTCTTTGTTTTCTGGAGAGTCCTTCTTTGTTTTCCAGGAACAGTTCATCCTTGGGTTTGCAACATTGCTGAGCTTTCCCAGATAGCTTGTCCTTTGGCTGCAACATTATGCTGCAGAAATAACTTCTAATGCTGAGAAGCTAAACTCCTGAGGCCTACTTCTTAATTATATGCTCAAAGCTCCCATAAGCCTTTGCTGGACTCTTGCTTGCACAATGCTCTCTGGGAGCTGTGCCCCTGTTCCCTTAGCCATTCTTCAACACACTAGTACACCTCAAGCTACTGTTATTTGCAGACACATCTTCTCTGAGTGTTCCAACACAGTCAGTACAACTGCAGTCTCTGGGCCACCACCCCACACAGCCAGCCCTGTGCTGGAGGAGTGTGCAGGTGGGCAGTCACACTGTGCACTGGTGCTCTGGCTGAAAACTCACCCTGAAAAACTGAGGTTAATTTTCAAACAGATCAGGTTCACCTTGCAGCCTCAAGCCCACTAAAACTGGTGCAGAGGGAGGGATGGGAATAACGATCAGGATGTCATGGGAAGCAGAGCTGGACTGTTGCTTCTGTTAGCAGCATGCATTTCTGCTGAATGAAAAGGATGATGGAGTCAGGGCTTTAATTTTTCCAGGTGAAATAAACCATGCTCCCTCTCTCTCCCTGGTAAAGCAGCTTGGCATTCCTCAGATTTCCCAAGGGCCCTTCTTGGTCTCTTTTCTGCCTTTCTTGTGGGTAATGGTTAATACTGTACATACTTACAAGCCATGCTCTGTTGATAATTTACTAATAATTTCAGACTTCTCCAGCTAAGGGAGCATCTGTAAGATATCTAAAAGCAATGAGCTTTTATCCAAACTGAGAGCACAAGCATGTTTGGTTGTCTTTTACTGCCAGTATTCTTTCAGAATAAATAAAACAGAATAAGCTAAAAAAACAAGAGGAAGCAGTGACTAAGTCACAGAGAGTATTTAAATTAAGGGCACCAGGAGACTACAAAGATTTTTGTAATGGAGAAAAACAGTGGTTAGTGATACATGACAGGCAAATATTCTTCAGCAGATGGTACAGAAATAGAGCGATGTAGAAAAAGGAAAGAGAAAATTAAAAGGGGATGTTTTTTGATGCTGTCAAGAAACTTGACAAAACAATCATTCTCAATTACAATATCTGGAAAGAAACAGAAATGTGATAACAGAAGACAACAAATATCATCAGAAAGAACAGCACTGTTAGCTCCTGGGAGCATCAGTGGATGTTCTCCTTGGAGTTTTTCAACATTTTCCAATTTGCAGACCCTTAAATAACTGACAGTAAAATGATTCTGCTCTCCTTATGGTAAAAGAGGTTTTGGGAAGAAAGATCCATCCCAACTTCAGCAAAGTTCCAGGCCTCCACTGGGGTGCACAGGTGACTGTGCATCCATCTATGACTTTGTGCAGACACCTATAGGCACAGAGTCATCCTTCTGGGGCAAATAGCTTCCTGGTGGGACTTTTATCTACAGGTTGAAGAGGAAACACTTGTACCCAAGTGGATGTATACACAAAACCAAACAGACTGGTGAAAGCCCATTCAAGGAGTCATCCAAAACTGTTTTTCAAATTAGCTATTCTTTGTTTCAACAGAACTAGCATGGACAGACAAATAAAATAGCTATTATCTGATTACTTCTAATTTAGAAATTACTATCTATATTGCTTGGTTGAATACACTGGTGGCTGAACATTATTCTAATATGAAAAGATACTGGTTCGAGTTGGTGGGTTTTAGAGACATTCAACCACAGCCCACACAGGTAGAAGAGCTGAGCCTACAGCCGTTTTTTTTAAATTCTGGGGCATTTTTGAGTTTTCCAAATCTAGAATTCATCTGAAGACCACCCTAAAATGTCTATACACATTTCCTGTGCACTCTTAACGCTTAGCTGTGAAGTGAGCCTGGCATTCATTTGACCACCATACAGGCAATCTGAAAGCTGACACAAATGTCTGCTCCATCCGATTCTGCAGGGGCTGCCTGGGAGCCACAGCTTCTAGGAGAAAAACTCAGGTCCTCCAGGCTCCCTCTTTGTTCCACATCTAGTGCCTGGAAGCCCTGGGAATGTTGATGGGGCATGCCAGGCTTCCAACTTCCAGACTCTATGGCAGACTGCCTGAAACCTCTGGCATATCTGGCTGCCTCCAAGCTAAATGTGGGAGTCCTGCCAAGTAGTCTGCCACATTGCTCCCAGTCTCAAGGGACAAAGCCTTGGGACCTTGGCTCAGATTTGGAGAAAGTTTTGAAATCCAAGATGTTTGGCACAAAATTTCTGGCATTTTTCTCTGAAACTTTCTTCATTTGTAAAATTTCAGCCCAGTTTAAGTGCGACTCCTATCCTGGTTCAAGCGAGACTGTGATAATGGGACACATGGCAGAATCTCACTGGCATCTTCCATATGAGTGTGAATACTGAGGGAGTAGGAAATTGTTGGACTTGGTAAAGAGTAGTGCAAGTTTCTTCCACTTGACTTTTCAAATGACACAAACCCCTGTATCAAGAAATGTGGCTCCTTTCAAGTCTGTAGGGCAATATTAAGAAAAAAGCTAGTAATTTGACTTTGACCCTTCTTCACCAGTTTCTGCCTGCTCTTACTTTGGCAGCCTCATCTTTCGTCTCTGTAGTTTCCTGCACTCTGCACGTGTTGGGCATCACACAGCAGGACTGGAGGGATTTCTGACCTTGGCAGTGCTGCTGAGTGAGGGCTTTTCAGAGGAGAACCAGGCAGAGATTTCAAGATCTCTTACTTTTGCCTGCAGAATGCAAGGAGGGCAAAATACAGAACACAAGGGATGGATTTGGAGAATGCAAAACCCATCATAAAAGAAATGTTTGAAAGTAGCTGCAGACATCAGCTGTTGGGCCAGCAGCCCTCTGTACACGGCACAACACCTGGCTGCTTAGGCAAAGCAGCTTTCCACTGAAATAGAGCTCTCTGACAGGGATTATTCAATCAGGGGCTGGTGGAGGCCATTCCTTACCTCTTGTGGGCACAAAGGAAAGGCTCATTTGGCCTTACAGTTCTTTGCAACCCTTTAGTTCTCAAAAAATGTTCTAAAATATGGGAGTTAACGCATTTTAAAGATGCATTTAGTATCAGAACTTCCTCATGAATAACATAAAACAAATGATTAAAAAATCTTCATTAGAAACAGTGAGTAAACAAATAAAAATTCCTTTATACACATCTGTAATTAATATGCAAGTCTTCTTAAAAGAAGCAGGTAACTTTTTAAGCTGTGTTACATGAGCTTAAACTTCTCAAAATGCAAAAGCCAAAATACACTTTTAAGTGCTTCAACTTCAAAATTCATTGACATCATCAAGGGTACTTATGCATTTAAAGCTGACCACACATTTTGCTGGTCTGGGAGTATTTAATAGCATATTTGATGCCTGGATTGAAAGATCCCAGTACCTACTGGATACAGCCAGTTAAGACGAGGCAAGGTCAGTTCTACTTTCCAAATCAAGGAGCATTTGCCAGGTTGCCAGTAGGGTGGAAAATGGAAAGCAGGAGGATATAATTTATGTTGACTTCTGAGAAGTTTTTGGCAGGGCAATTCATGAGAAGCTGTTAAGGAAATGAGTGCTATCATGGGCTACAGAAAGTGGCTAATAAAAATAAATAATTGGAACAAATGGTTACTTTTCATCATGTCAAATGATTAGTAGTTGGCTGTCCCAAGGACCTGCAGAAGGATTAGTCTATTTAATGTATGTATTAATGAACTGGGAAGAGAAGTATGAGAGGAAAATTTGAAAGCAATACAAAATAAGTAGAGTGAAAACTCGTGAAGATTTTGCAGAGCTTCACTGAGTCATAAGAAGGTGGTGAATTGGCAACAGTAAAGCAGATCAAATGCATAATGAAAGGGATCATACATATAGCTGTGTTCTAAATTAACTGTAACAAGCAAGGAAAAAAACCCCAAGAGCAACTGTGGATCACTCAATGAAAACCTTTATGCAGTGTGTAACAGCAGAAAAAATAATTCTCCAAAGGTTCTATCGGCACTGTATCAGTAAGCAGTAGGAAATCATTTGGAACAGCTCCTGCTGTTTTTAAAAGGTATTAAAAAACCCCCACACACCAATGGCACAAGAGGATACTCAAAACTACCAGGAATCTGGAAAGACTTCCAGGTGGTAGGAAGGCTGAAAAGGGGCTGCCTACTGACTGACAGGGCATCCTCCACTTTATCCCTTCACAAAAGGACAAGAGTCTATCCAATGAATGTAAAAGTCAAAGAAAACTCAACAAAACCCCAAACCCCAAAACCTGATCAAACAGAATGTGAATCTCATTGTTAACTTCTGGAAATTACTTTCACAAAATATCATCAAGCCTTTAAGTTTGGTAGGATTAAACACAAACAAACAAAAAAGATTTGACACATATTGATAACGAGAAGCTACTTAATTTGCACTAAGCTGAATAGTGTTTATAGAGAACATAAACCTTATTCTTGGAGAGCTAAGCCAGTCAGTAACTATGAGAATTAGAAAGAAATTTCCCCTGTTTCTTCTTGCTCAATTCCAGGCTGTTTGTACCTTGCTGTAAAGTTTGTCTTGTGACTTCTGATGTCTCCAGTCACTGTCAGAGACAAGGACTAGGCAGTTCTGAGTACTCCTGAATATGACAAGCGTTAATACTGAGGAACTTGAATCTTATTCAGCCATACTTACAAAGATTGGTATTAATTCTATTTCTAAAATAATTCTGGGTTTTTCTATATCAGTGGGTTTGAGCACACCTAGCCCCGAAATGATTTGTTACTTGGTGATACACAAAACCAAAGTTGCAGCATTATACATACCTTAGTTGTCATTCCTACTCATTTCCCCAGAGAGATTTATACTGCAAAGACACAGAGCCCACACTGCTCTGTTACTCCATGGGAAAAGGAAAGAGAGAAGCCAACTGACAGAAAACTGTACAATATATGGGAAAAGAGTGCGGAACTTGTTTGTGTACTTCTCACCGTATCACTTGTGTGATAAGGATTTCTCCACGAGTGGGCTCTGCTTGCAGCTGCTGCAATTAACACCCTCCTCCCCCAAAGACTGTAGTTGTTTAACTCACATACCAATTCCATTCACAACAGGTGAATCGTTACTAACTTCCAACACGCCGGGCAAATTCTGTTCTCCTTCGTGATCATTTAAATCCACGTTTTGCTGCTGTGAGCCATTCCCAAAATGTCTAGAATCTTTCTCATGACTGCCATCTCCATTCTGCAGACCATTATGTGGCTTTTTCAGTGGCATGATCTGTAAACCGCTGGGAGTAGTTCGGTAAGTCACAGTTTTAGCAGCCCTGTCATTAGCAGCTGCTGGCTTGGCTGCATATCCTCGTTTCTGTTTTTGAAGTGATGGATTAATTCTCTTCCTTTTGTGTGTTGACCCTTTAGACTTCCCAGATTCAGGTCTATGTGGTATTTTCTCAATGGATGACCCTCGGCTTTCCCGTAAAAACTTTGGCGCGTTGGCCTGTTTGCCATGTCTGGATCTCTTTTCCCTAGTCACGTGTAGTCCATTGAACTCATCAATAAATTCCTCACAATGTAGTAGATGATGTTCAGGTTCCCAGGTGTCTTCATTACTTCCATAGCCTTTCCACCTGATGAGATATTCCCATTTGCCCTTCTTGTTCTTCCTTTTGTCTACAATCCTCTCTACCTAAAAGAAAAAAACCAAAAAAATATTAGGAATAATTCCCACGAACAGACCTGGAATATAGGAGAGGAATGCAGAGCCTTGGTGGTATTTTGACAGCAAGGCCATTGCTGCTTCTGCAAACACAGAGACATAAACACCTGCTCAGATCTCATCTGGGCACCTGCAATAGCCCCACTGTGAAGAAAGAAGAGAGTCTGAGATCACTGATGAAAGCACAATTTCTTTGAAAATCTGGTTGTAAAATGAGACTATTACTGTTACATTCCTCAGCTACCTCTTGTCTGAAAGAGCTAAATAAAGCATCTTTTGCTGTAATGTCACTTACTGATCATTCTCCTGAATCCATACATGCATTATGTTCCTGTAAACTTCCCCAGTCGCCTTTATGCCTTGAAACTACCTTGAACTGAGAACTGATTATAGCAAATTACAGTATTGTACAGCAGAGATCTTATTTACAGTAGTGTACATCCACTTTGCTACTTTCAGCCTATAAAAACCTGTATTTTTTCAGAATGCAATACTTGAGTAAATACATAAAATTCATGGGTGCACCAATTAAAAAAGAAAATGAAAGACATACGGGCAAAATTCTTACATAGAATTTTATCACCTATGCTAGACAATGCCAGAAACATTTCTGCACCAAGGGCTGAGGGACTGTTAGGGACTGTAACCTGGATGGGAATTAGCATCATGCTGTTGTGGGACACAGACTGTGCAACTGAAGAAATCTTGGTGCTATCTCAGTGCTGGCAAAACCTCAAGTAGAGAGAGAGTGCATAGAAAAACCCAAACACAACCAGTGGACAGCAAGTCAGGGGGTTAAACTACACCAAGTGAAACTCAGATCAAGTCATTAGGAATTAAACATCCAGAGTAGGTAATGTGGGGAGGGTAGGGAGGGTCTTTAGTTTTTGTTACATACATCTGCCATGAAAAGTCAATGTTGGAAAATCAGTTATGATAATAAAATCTTTGAAGGCTCTCCCAAGTTTTAATTTTTAATTCTTTAATTTTGAATTTTTTTAATAAGTGGCTTATGAAGGATAAAGATGCCACTAATGAAAGAAGAATCATTATCATTAACCAAAAGCAGTATTGTTAATTTAGAAAAATAAATAAGGGGATGGCTAATGTAATAGCTTTCACTCTCTTTGAAGAAAAATCATCTCATGTGAAGAACAACAGTGGAATTTGTATGGAGAATTTAACCTTGAAGAAGGGCAATCACAGCAGTGTAAGTAATTGTTCTTTTTAGGTCCCCTGTTAGAGCAAACCAATGGATTAATTCTGTCTGTTCACTGGCTGGAACTGTATATTCATAGAAATCTTAGTGGGTTCCCCAAAGGAGTCTAAATGTAATTAGCAACTAAACATTAGACTTCTATCTCTGTTCATTTACATGAGAACTGTGCTAAGATATGTGTGTCTGAGTCATAGTGGACAGCCTTCCTCCATCTCCAGGGCACTCACTGCAGCATCTCAAACAGCTCATTCCTGGGCTCTGTCTTATCAAACATCTGCATGGAGCCACCTCAGAAGCAAAGCAAGGCATCCTCTGTCATCTGCATATAGCACAGTCCCCTTCAGGACTGCTCACTGTGGCAAAACAATTAACTGAAGTTCAGCCTGGGCAAGTTGGAGATCATTTGTCTGAAAAGGGGGAAAAGGCTTCACAAAATAAATGAACTGACATTTTTTTTTGTCCTCATTTGGGATGTGTGGCTTTCAATTGTCAAACTAATAGACTTATTATGATCTTGTTGACTTTACAGAGAGCAGCTGTCCAAATTATCCTTGGCTTTAAAATATTTCTCATCCTCCTATCTCGGACTAGCCAGAAAAACTGCACACTGAACCATGGAACTCTGTGTGGGCTGCCTGTGGATTTGTTACTTTAATTACTGCAGCTCACTATACCAAGGAGCAAAACATATATATATGTCCTGGGGAAAAAGTTAAATTGCTGCTAAACTCAGTAGACCACAGCTATCATTACTGGAGAGCTGAGTTAGTGCTGTTCTGTCTGTACCAGCTAAACAACACATGTGTTTCCCTCCCTTTCTAATTCAGGAGTTTGGACCTGGAACACAAACTTGCTGTTAGGTTGATGCTACCTTGGAGTAACTTGTCCTTCCAGGGATTACACCAGCTGCATTCCGTCACTTGCTTACTGAGGTAAGAACCTCAGAAAGAATGGACAAGTACCTCACCCTTTTCAGGATCACCCCCCTATCCTTAACTATACAGATTTCTCATTTTCACATTGTTGCTCTACTAGAAAGAGGAAAAGTGAAGGGAAGAGGTTTTGTGGAGGACATTTTTTAATATGGAAAACACTCAAGTGTTTTGATGATGAGGCATCTTGCATTTCAATTAAGAGGATAAAAGGAGAAAATATGAGTGGTCTTTGTTCCTGGGAAACAAAATACTGGCAATGAAGAATGTGATTAACCAGTTCAACACATCGTGAAGGGAGAATAAAAGTACTTATGAAATTGGGTCAAATTTAATTAATGGTTTCCAAAAAAAACATTGAGAAAGCAAATATATTTGTGAAGGACTAAGCATTTCATTACAGCATTTTCAGAACAAAACCATCAATGTTCCACTTCAAATTTAACTAACTAAAATAAAGAGGGACTAAACAAACTGAAGACAAAATGTTTTGTTTCTAGTCAACCCTCTTTTCAGTTTATTGTTTTGCTGGGGAGAAAATGAAAAAAATGTGGGTTGATCCAAATTTAGTTGTTTTCCTTGATTTTTTTTAGTTCAACCATAATACCCACTGGCTTGACTAATGATGCATAAGAAGTCTGAGTAGATATTTTCTCGTCCTCATTACTGCCTCATTGTTCATCACTGAATGCATCTGAGGGTAGCACTGAACATACTTGACCTCTCAACATGGTCCCTTTTCTTTCTTGGGCTTTAAGTTCTTCAGTAATATTTATCCCCTTCAGAGTACCACTGTGAAGTGCTTTGGTGGAGGAACAAACATCAGGGTTTTATCCACACCTAGTTCTGTCTGTCCCATTTTCCTTCTATCCACAGTAATAACAAACATCACTACTTTGTTTTTTTTAATGATGTATATGTTTTAGCAGGTAATATACCATTTAATATTTTTTCTGCATTTACTTAAGGTTGCACAAGTTCACATGAGTTTTCTTAATTAGAAATAATTCTATGAGAGCTAGTGATTAATAGAAATAATACTTTAATTCCTTCTCTAGAATAAGCAATACACAGTTTTGAGAATATGCAGAAAATTTTGAGGGCTTCAGTGTCTGATTTTCCATTTTCCCGCTCAGTTCTGTCTTTAATCAGAACTGAATAACATCTCCCCAAAAGTGCCCTTGGTAGTTGCAGGTGCCAAATCTGTGAATTCACTATATTTGCTTTGGAAAACTAAGCACTTAAATTTAATACAAGTGAAATGACTTCGAAGTTTGCAAAGGTACCACAGTTAAGAGAGTGCTAGAACTGACATGTACCATCACTTCCCTGGATTCTCTCTCTCCCTGCCCCTCCTGGCTAATTCTGGGTGAACTGAGCTGCTGATACGTTACCACATAAATACTTTTAAAGAGAACAAATCCAATGAGACCATGGCATCTGGGCAAACACATCTGCAACACACTTTAGCTTCCAACTAGCCTTAAACCTAGCTCTATACACAGGGGCACAAACTAGGCTGAAAGTCATAAATAAAAAGCCTTTTAAAAATAGATCTGCATTCTAAACTTCATGTGAAATAAAAAAACCTACTAATGAATTACAGTACAAATATCTGGAGCTTTGCAAACTTAGTGTTGTGCTTGTATCTATAGATTACAACAGACACACATTTTCACAGATTCCGGGTCAAAACGATTTAACAGCACAGTGTTATCATTTGCTTATCCAAAAGAATAAACCTAGGCTAAGTTAAAAAAGGATAATTCCTATGGAATTATTTCTACAGATACAACAGCAGAGTTAAAGCTGAGTATACACATCTCACAGTTCACAGCTCTGAAGAGCATAAACAAAAATCCTTAGGCTCCCAGAAAACACCTTCCAGGAGATCAGTAAACTTCCAGAAAGGTTTGGAAGATTGAATATCTACTTAGTGATTTCCAAAATAAGTACCTATCATCTCCTCTTCTTGCCATGCATATCCATGTAAGCAATTTAAATTGTAATCTGTGATGTTCACATGTTCCCTGTTAGAGCGGAGTGACTGCATGACAGACACTAGAAAAACTGCTTCTCATTACTATAAATTACAGGACTTGTACTGTTTTATGTGCTTTTTTCATTGGAGGTCTTTGTCCCATGTTGTGCCTCAGGGTGTTGGAAGGGTATTTGAAGAAAGTGCCAAGGAAAGAAAGGCAGTAAGATTTCTGAGAGAGATAAAGGCCATCTGATTCAACATGTTTGTCTTTTAAAAATTCAGTATTGCCCTAACTTCCCCCTTCCTGTTACCTTTGCTCTGAGAAATAATGGATTTCATTAGCTGTAAATCTCTTGCCTGATTGTATTCGTAACCTATTTTTGTTTCCCTTGTATTTGTATTCAGTTTCTCAAAATCTGGCAATTGGAGTATTTGTTCCAGATGTACAAAAAAATATGGCAATGAATCTCCTGAAGCAGCCAGTATTCAGGTTGGAAAAATAACAGTGGAATGGGTGCTGGGACTCTTCAGAATCTGACCCACAGAGTAGGTCCAATTGATGTGTCAGCTATGAAACCCCATTGGTAGTTATTTTATGTAGTTACCTGGAAGGTCAAAATGAAAGCAAAAGGGCTAGATATTCACAAAAATGAAAGGGAAGGCATTCCTCATCTGAATTACTCACAGGCAAAACATCGAATGACATCTTCCCAGGAAGTCCAGGGAACACTCTGTTAATGCCAAGAAGCCACTGCTTTTTACTCAGTTCCTTTTTTCACTTTTTAAGCATGCAGATTTTTAATTTTATGTTTTCTGATTTTCAATCAGCAGAGGTATT